GGCCATGCTGCCTTACGGACAAGGGTCAATTTGCTTAAATTTTCCCATCTTGGTTGCCTTGTGTGATCAAGGCTGTTAGTTAGACACGTTATTGCAATGGGCAGTCTCCCTCATCTTCCTTATAGCCTTCCAGGAAACAGCCGCCAAGATCCAATTAGAAGAGTTAACTCCACGTGTGCTCTGTAAGATTCCTTTCGAAGGGAAAGCAGGCGTTAGTGCTGAAGTGCAGCTAACAGTGAATCGATCCAACTCTCAGCAAATGGTTTTCCAGAATCTCAGGCCTGAAATTACCAGTGAGCTCCTAGCAGAAGAATACTTTATTTTTCAGACTGTATTCCTTAAGTTGATCGCCATCTTAACATGCAATTGAACTTGGTCTAGACAACAGATTTCTGTAGTTGCTAAGAAACTGGATTAGTGCTAATCTAAGGAATGTGTTATTCATTTTGAGTCCAGGTTTGTTACTACAGCACTTTAATTGCAGATAAATGCCATTCACGGCTCTCTGGGGTGTAAAACATTTCTCCCCTAGCTGGTGGGGCTGCTGTGTTTGTGTGCCCCCTGCAACCGCATGGCATTCAGGCAAGTAGTGACCTCAAAAGAAGAAAAAGGCTTCTTGAGGCTCCAACAATAGCACCTGCCCCGCCTGGCTGAGCACTCAGGGCCAGGCCAGCCTCCCACTGCAGGAGACAGGCCCGAGAACTGTGTCACCCATCCTGCGCACACGCTGCTAATTGCGCCTCTTTGTGTCCCAGATGAGGTCACTCTGCAACCTGCAGCAGCCATCCGCGATCAATTCCTCAGATAATAGATTGTCAGCCCGAGAAATTCAATTTCTGCCTGGTAGCCGGAGACAGCTTTCTAAAGAGCACATCTGACAGTATCAACCTCACCCCACTCCTCTTGGAGCAAGCAGTTCAGTGCTTCCCCATCCCTGAGTGATAAGGAAGCCTCTACCTAGCTGTCTCTTCTCCAGGCTCAGCTTTTCAGTGTCTTCTGAAGGCAGACAGCTTTGTGCAATTGGCCGTTTGTAACGGCTTCACTGGTGGTCTGGGCTCCTCCATTGCCCAGGTTTTCCATCCCTCCACTAGGCAATGCCTCATCCCGCTCCCAACCTCTCAACCCTCATCCACTGCCATCGAGTATAGTCCAACGCATGGTGAGACTCTACAGGACAGGGTAGAACTGCCCCTGTAGGTTTCTGAGACTGTAACTCTTTATGGGAGTAGAAAGCTTTTTTCCCCTTCTCCCATGGAGCAGCTGGTAGTTTGGAACTCCTGACCCTTTGGTGAGCAGCCCAACATATAACTGCTATGCCACCAGGGCTCCTAACCTCAACACAGTTCTCATTCAATGAGGTAGTGGAAGCTGGTCAGGTGAGCGGCCACAATTCAATCTCAAGAACTGGAGGTCCTGCAGAGGTGAGCCAAATGCAGGTCTATAGCCAAACAAAAAAAAAACAAATACTGCTATTGAGTCAATGCTGACTGTGGGTTTCCGAGGCTGTAACTGGGTACGGGAGTAGAAAGCCCAGTCTTCTGCGGAGTTGCTGGTGGTTTCGAACTGCTGGCCATGCAGATCACAGCCCAACATGTAACCACTGTGCCACCAGAGCACATCATCCATGTCGGACTCCTTGGCAATCACTCAGCAGGCGCAGGACTTGGGTTCTCCCACCTTGAAGTCATCTTCATCCACCGTAGCCAGGTCAACTTGAGCGCTAACCACAGACGGGGCAGATCTATCTGTGCAGTGATGAGTCTCCCATTGCTGATCATGAGTGAAGTAATTCCAAACATTGCATTTCTGTAATACTCATGCAAGCCCAGCAAGAAAGACTGCTGGGAAAAGTTGTGCCTCTCTACAAACATGATTGGTAAGGTTTCCCACCCTAAATTCAGTTTCAAATCAGAGAGACCACTTAGAGACCCCCCCCAAAAGTGGAATTTTTTTCCTCAGTCAAAACTCTAAATGTGCTAGAAGTTCTTTACAGGAGTTCCACCAAGTGTAGTAAATTCTACTTTGTATATCATCTCTTCTTGTTTAATTATAAGGATTTGGATGTGCAGCACCCATTAATCAGTAATTAGATAGTACTGTAACCGAGGAAATTAAACAAAGATAAAAACAGAAACAACTCAGCACAAGACCCTATCATCTGCTCACGTTTCATGGAGCATGATAAACAAAGGACGGACTGCCCACGAGACCTGGGTGAGCAACTGATTTGTGGTCTTGTTAGCGACCCACAGTGCCAATGGGGCACTTAGAGATAGTCCACAAACATCCTCCAGTTCCGGGCACCGCTTTATTGCATTTTGCTGATAGTGCGGAGACCCGGCCTCTGGCAGGTCAACTGGCAATCATTTTGCCAACAGCACATGTTCACAGTATGTCTCTGTGTTCGTTTAGTAATGTAGCTATTTCAGGAGCCCTGGTGGCATTGTCCAGTAAACACTGTCCAGCTAACAGCAGAGTCGGTGGTTCAAGGCCAACAGCTGCTCCCATAAAGATTCAGCATCCTCAGAAGCACCATACAGGATGACAGTGAGTTGGAATGCACTTGATGGCAATGGGCTTAGATGGGTTGGCTTATTGTATGTTTTATTTGTACTATAAAATAGTTCAAACTTGCAGTGGTCTGGAACCAAACCTGGTACTTCTGTATATGAATGGTTAGTCCTCTTTTCAAAGCACCAAGATAGAGAAGAAAAGGGTGTGCTTATATAGCAAATCCCTTTAGGAATCAAAGCAGCCCTTGGGGCATAGTGGTTATGCATTGGGTCACTAACTGCAAGGTCAGTGGTTCACAACCACCAGCTACTCCGAGGAAGAAAGAGGTGGCTTTCTTCTCCCATAAAAGAGTTACAGTCTCAGAAACCTACAGGGGCAGTTCTGCCCGGTCCTATAGGGTTTCTACGAGTTGGCATGAATGCAATGGCAGAGAGAATTAGGAATCGAGGCTGGAGGTGTAGGGACATTCTCTATACAATGTCTCTCAGTCATTTATTAATGAGAGAAGTCAGCAGCAGTTCCTGCACCTCAATCTGGAAAGAAATGATGGAAGTAACCTGCTCCGGTGTGCCCCCGCTGGTATGGAGTGGTCCTGGCAGCTGGGCACCTCAAGGTCCTTTGCTTTCCACCCAAGTCCATCGAGCAAACATTACTCCTTCCCAGTGACCATGACGACGTGGGGAGAGCAAGCCAATGAAACAATTCCCGCAGCATTCTTCCAGTGGTGCTGTGTCCGGGAGGTGCTGGCACGGCGCACACGTGGAGATTGTAAAGTCTTTAGACAGTGTGCCTAGACGAATGAGCAGATTCTTCCCCTTAAGTGGATGAAACTGTCGTGAAGAGTTGTACCGAATGAATTTCGTGGTGCACTCCCAAGCTAACATGATAGACGTTGTCTTCATTACCAGCTGAAACAAATCATGTGTCCTCTGCCGGCACAGTGTGCTGGGGAGAATAACAAGGGGAACTGCGGGGAGCCCCTCTCTGTGGGCACACAGATAGAAAGAGTGAGCTTCTCAAGGGGGCCTCGAGAGAGGGAGACAGGGCTGAAGGTCAGCTTCCCGGAGGGCAGCGGAGCACTGGGCTGCAATCGTGTGTGTAACGTCCCGCTGAACTTCATGTCTCCAAGAGCTTGGGAACCGCTAGTCTTTCTCCCGTTAGAGTCTCTGCCTGCTGGGCCTGGAAGCTTTTGTCTGTACAAAAACGTCTTGCAAAGGTTTGTGCACCCCTGTGAGTGAAAGCCGCATTTGTCAAGGTGACACCTCGTTTGTGGGTATGCTCGTTACTCCACTTGTGCTGCTTGGACCGCTCCCCAATTAGAACCTGTTCCTCTCTCAGTGGGCGGCACAATTTACCTGGGGTCACTATACTGCACAACGTTTGCCTCGCGATGTGAACGTCTTTACTGAGATACGCTCAGGGAAACCGACCCCAGTCCATGATCATTACTATCTTGTGACTTGTTATTCTGGATGACCTGGCTACATTCATGAACCAGAGCAACCCTCTTGAGCTCCATGGCTGATGATGACCAGTTTAACGACGTGATAACGAGCTGTCCCCATCCACCCAGGGTGCCCTCAAAAGAACCCTGGGGCTTTCACTGCCCTGATGGCTTCCCTCTCTCATCGCCCCCACCTCTGGAAATCACTCCTCGTTAGTGCTCAAGCCAGAAAGCCAGGCATCATCCCCGAGGGCTCCCTCTTGTTCCTCCACGGCACTCCATGCATCCGCCAGTTTCTCTTCACCGTCCCTTTTCCCTAAGACCTATTCTCCATAGCAGCTCAGGGACTTTTTCAAAATTTGAAGCAGGCCCAATGACATGCGATTTGGAAGCCTTCCAGTGACTTCTTGTTTCATTTAACATAAAGCCACCAGGACCCCACGTGGGCCAAGAACCCACACGATTGGCTCCGCATCCCTGCCCACCCCTCACGCTGAGCTTCAAACATCCCAAGCTCCTTCCTACTGCCGTGGGTTTACATGTCATTGCTTCTGCTTGGAATGGCTTCTGCTGGCTCATAACCAGGCCTCCCCTCTCCCCCTCAGAGAAGTCTTTCCTGGACACATTAAGTGAACCCACCAAGAAGTCCCTGTCACATCAACTTGTCTGTGTCCTTCATAGCGCTTGCCCGATCCAATTATTCGGTTATTTTTTTTGCTAACTGACAATTGTGCTTCTCTTGATGTGCTATGGCGTCAGAAGCCACGTCTGTGTTAACCACCATATCTCCTGTGCCCTGCACAGAGTCTAGCACATGAGAGCACTTTCAGTAAACAGTTGTTAATGTGAACGAACCCTTCTCTTCCTACTGCTGTATGACTGACCAAATCATTGAACGCCTTCAGCTCTAAGATGAAGCTGTGAAAAGATGGTAGGTTCTGGGGGATAAGTTAAAGGAGTGAATCTATGGAGATATGTTGCTTGGTTCATTGTAGATGCAGAACAGGCATAGTTAACTCCCCCTCCCCCCACTGTTTCATAGGAAATCTTCCGAAGAACTGGACATGGACAAGGTGACGGCAGCAATGGTATTGACCAGCTTGTCAACCAGCCCTTTGGTACGAAGTCCCCCTGTGCGACCAAATGGTAAGCATGGAGAGCGGGGCTTTAGGGTGGGATCTCCTTCCAGTCAAACACAGTGACTATGTTACCCTCATCTAGTAAAAAGAAGCAAGGGGCATTGGGAAGAAATGGAAATGCCAGAGCTGTCTGCCTTCTCCACATCTTCCCAGGGACCTGATGACAGCTCATTTTCACAGCGATAGTCATTGAGCCGCAGCCATGTTTTTTGCCTTTACAGAATATATGTCTATAGTCAGAAAGGTCTGGGGAGGTTATTGGCTCCATCATTGCTTGATTGGGGTCAGGGGAGGTGGGGGGGGGGGCGGGGCCAGAGGGAAAGTAGAGCGCTAAGAACTTAACATTAAAACAAAATGAATCCAAATATATCGGAGATTTCAAAACCAATAGAATCATTTAGTCCATCCATTAATTTAGTGATATATTAATTTGATATATTTACCAGGTACCCTTCTAGATGGTTTGACCACATCACTGGAGAAAAAAATGATTAATCATAGCCATATTAACAGTAAGCATCTACTGAGCACGGTGCTTGCTTTAGCTAATGTCACATGGTCATGCCGCCATGCCATGATCTCCGTTTTACAGATGAGAAAAGTGGAACGGGCCTTAGCTGGCTTGTGCATGGCAGAGCTGACCTACTCCACCCCCTGAGGCGCGGCTGTAGGTCCTTTTTTCCCATCACCCTCTGGAAGCTCGTTCGCATCAGTTTGATGCTGAACCTCCCGAGCGAAGATGTGATCAGGGAAAAGACGGAGTGATCTACTTCTGAAAATCACCCAGTGGAGGATCACAACAGCTCTGCAATCAAGCATGGTGCCAGGAGGCAGGGCCAATGCCACAGCGGCTAACCACCACCACCTGAAGGAACCTTCCCAACCCCTAGCTGCTAGTCAGCAGAGTCCATTACGAACCTGGGCTGTGGCCGAAACTTAATTTAACCATAAACATGAGGTGTTAATTTTGCTGAACAGCCAGTGAGTCCTCACCAAAGCATACTCCAATTGTAAGTGAGGCGAAATTACCAGGAGGTTGGGAATGTAAATGTGCCTACCATGATCATTTCTCTAGCTGGGTGGCCCACCTCTCTTAAATAACCTGACGGAGCTTCTGGAAGGCACCTGGTAGACCAATATCCTGATTTCTCTTTCTCGGTTTGAACAGATCTATTAAGAAAGGAAGCCAGTAACAAATCACCTATTTCAGGAAAAAGGAATGGCAGAAAGTGTATTTTACATGTTGTCACTTTAATTTTGTTAACTGTTTTTCATGGAGAACATTATTAACATTGCTTTGTATTGAATGGTTAAAATTAAACCTTTCTGCTGCTTCAATACAAACTTTTAAATACAGTTATAAAGCAAGTAATTCCGTGTTCATGGATGGTTAAAAAAATATAATAATGACTCAACTAACAATCCCAAATTGTTTGATAGGGCTCATTTAGTCTGAAACAGGAGAAACACATTCTTAAATAGGAAAAGCAATTTATGATAATGATAGCATTATATTTTTAGGAATAAATTATTTTCCCCAGATTGTGTAGCAGTGAGGTTATGGAAAGTGCTGCACCCCTTCCGGTGGCTGAAAAGGCCCGTTCTCTCGGGATATGGGCATGCTAGGAGGCGATCACAGAAGCCTGTCCACATTCTTGGTAAATCTTTAAGATAAGCAGACACTGCTCCCCGCCCCTAACTTTCGTGTTTTCTGAAAATGTCTGTGTCACTTTGTGCTTTGGGTTCAATCGTGTTTCTAAAGGAAATGACACCCACAAGCCAGTGAGAAATCTAACTTTTGTAATTGGCGTCAAGCAATGTCCTGAAGCAGTAATAGTTCTTGGGAATTTCTATCCTCCTTATATTTTCCGTGATTACAATAAACTTAGTATCATTTTATGTGATCTTAAGAGTACCTGTTGCAGTCTGCTGGAAAGCCCCCACAGCCTACGGAGCGGGTTCACCAGAACCCACTGCCTTCGAGAGGATTACAACTCATTGCGAACTATCGCGGGTTTCCAGGACTGGGGCTGGTTTCAAGAGCAATCTCACCTTTCTCCCATGGGGGTGGGCGGGGGGTGGACCATCAATTTTGCAGTTTGCAGCCCAGATCAAAACCCACAGTTCCACCAACACCGTACAAAAGCCATTCTGTGTTGGATGGGACTGTGTTGCTAATAGACAACCCGGAGGAAGATGGATGCAGCAGTGTTCTGTGTGGGCTGCAGCAAGCGAGGGGCTAATTTGGTTTTGCTGGGGACGTGGGAGCCTGCATAAATCACCATTTGATTCCCCTCGCTCTAATGAGATGGGCCGCTTCTGCTATTTCAACTTAAAGCCTCACTCTTCCGACTGAATGTTGTACTGGACGTGGTAGAAGAATGTGGTGGACGTAATTAGGTGAAAGTAATCAGAAAGTTTTACTAAGAGCGTTAGTCTACCTTTTGCCTTCATTTCTAATTACATAGTCGTTAGCAGCATTTTTTTAATGAGGCATTTGGGGACTTCCCCCTCACCACCACCCCCTTCATTAGAATGGTGTTTTAATATATTCAAAATGCACATCGATATGGGACAAAATACTCAGAGTGTAAGATATGTAGAAATACTCATTAAGATTGGGGATCTTGAAAGGTAAAGCAAATCTTCTGTGATTAAAAGACCCCCAAAGACATTCTATCTGTAACAAAGAGCTCCCTTCATTAGCAAACATTTCATGATGTTTTCCACTCAAAGTGCAAAGGTAAATTATTAGTAATTATTTCCAAGAAATTCTTACCTGTCTCCAGCATGAGCCAAAGGCAAGAGGCAAACTGGCTGATTAGGGCTACGCCCCAGTCACAGGCCTTGAGCTTAATTTACTAGTCTCAGCTGTAAAGTGACAACGCTGACTCGGAGGGACAGATAGTATGAGAAGCCACGAGGTTGTCTGTGTGACCGAGCTTTGTAAAAGGTAAACCACTGTTGTCCGCTATGGCTGGTGGTTATCATTGGGCCGCTAACAGCAAAGTCAGCAGTTCGAAACCAGCGGCCACTCCTTGGGAGAAAGATGAGACTTTCTACTCCTGTAATGAGTTGCAGGCTCGGAAAACCCACTGAGACAGTTCTGCTCTGCCCTTACCGGGTCATTGGGAATCGGCATCGACTCAGTGTGTCGGTGAGTGAGTTCTCGTTTGTCGGAATTCGAGGGCTGGTAATTGGCTCTAAATTAACTTTCCCGAAATTATGATTGCTCTTAGATCTGAAGTCTTGTATCTTTTCTCTAAATGTATATTCCAAGGGACACAAATCCCAGAAGTTTTCAAACAGGGAGGATCCTTGGACCACACACCTTGAGAGAAGAATGCACCCACAGGAATAAATTGCTCATCCCTCCCCTTGTAATCTCCACCGATATCCCAAGGAATTAATCTGGCAACATAACGCACCTCAGGAAATCATTTCTTAGAAAAACCTAAGTTACATGGTTAGAGTGTGTGAGTCATTGTCTTTCCCTAGCCAGCTGTTGCAAGGGAGGGAGGTGAGGTGTGTGCACCCAATCGGCCCAGGCCGGACCGGCCAGTCCAGGCTGACCTGTGTTTGTGTGCCCGCGCAGATGGCCTGGGCGGCTCCTGGAAGGAAGCGGTGGGCGTGCCCTCCAGCACGAGCAGCAGCGGCTACTGGAGCTGGAGCGCCCCCAGCGACCAGTCCAACCCGTCCACCCCCTCGCCGCCGCTCTCGGCCGACAGCTGCAAGCCCGGCCGCCCGCAGGCGCCGCCGCTGCCCGACGACGGCATCGACGAGGCCGAGGCCAGCAACCTGCTCTTCGACGAGCCCATTCCCAGGAAGAGAAAGGTGGGTCTGGCACGCTACTTTCTGTTAAGTACACGCAGGTGCAGCCTGCCCCCGTTCGTGGGATCGCTCGGAACTTAAGGGCTCACGCTCCTGGACCACCCTTGGCGATTTCAAATTAAGTCAATGAAATCCCATGGCTGAAAACCAGTGAGATACCAATATCGTTCTTCAAGAGGCGAAGACCCGTCTTCTGAGTATGAGTCACTGAACTTGGTGGAAAGGGTTAATAGCAGGTAAAAATGTACACGTTTTCGGGGTTTGGAAGTTAGAAAAATTAGGCTTCTGACAGGGTTTGGTAATTAACGCATTCGCTTAGTGGGATTTAATTTTTCTCAGATGTAAAATGTAATCAACCCCCCCCCCTTTTCTGCTTCCATCAGCTCTGCAGGGCTGCTGGGAATGATCTTTTGTATCTCAGTTTATCAAATCAGACCTTATGAAGATAGACATTACAGCCTACAAATCATTGCATGTCATATAGATCATCGTGCAAAGGGAGATGAATTGCTTGCATTTTCTATACCCCTCACAGCAGTCCTGACAGCATCGTGCTTACATCTTAAGAGGCAGAAACTAAGAAACAGAGAGGTTAGGTTAGGAAGGTCCCTGTGTTAGACAGGGTTCTCTAGAGAGATAAAACCAGATTGCTGATAAGTTTATATCTATAGTTATAAAGATAGATATATATAACACAAGAAATGGACTGTTAAATTGTAAAGCAGTACAAATGGCTCAATGCAAATCACTACCGTGAGAGAGTTGTGAGATGCTAGCAGTCCTTCAAGTCTTGAGGGCCGTCTGGTAGTCCTCTGTAGAGAGAGAGCTAGGCTAGCCCAGCACAGGCAGCAAAACAGCCAGGCAGGTCACCAACTGTCAGTCCTCAACTCCAGAGATGTAAATTTCAATTGTGTTGTCTTAAAGGGACCTTAACTTACAGCGACACAGTCCACAGGCTAGGCCTGCCACAGGTAGTGTAGGCTGTAAATTGAGACAGAGAACAAGCAAGGCAGCCGCACACTGGTCCAATGATCAAAGAGCAAGAGGCAAGAAAGACGAGGCTCACCAAGCCATTTATCTCTCCGCCCTTCAATTAACCCCACTTTTGTTTATCGGCCAGGCTGGCACAATAAACTAACTATCTCAGTCCCCAAGCCTCACTCTGCCTGAATCTGATGTTCATGTCCCTTTCAGTCACTCTCTTCAAGAACATTTAAACGATCCGCTGCCCTTACACAGCTTTTCAAATGCATTTCTCCTTTAAAACAATAAAGCCATATGAGCACTGTTACCCTGAAAACATCTTACCATTATTTGAAACATCACAGTGAACATGAAAGTCTTGTTTTAGCTGTTGTTCTTAGTTCCGTGTGGGGAGCTTCATTATTCATGACTACTCCCAACAAAAAAACCCAAGGCAAAACCCCGAGGGCCGTTCTCCCTCCAGTTCATCTCAGAGGCAAACAGAGATGGCATCCCTGAGTCTGGGTAACAGAAGCTGTGGCACTCACTCTCTTTCCGGTGTGCCTGTGTGGTCTCCAGCTCCTACCTCATCAGCAGGGCAACAGTGGCCTATCCTTTCCACCGGCTGTGGCATCAGGGCCACTTTTGCTCACCAGTGCCTTGGGCTGGCCGTGTGGGTCTCCAAGGAAAGTGGACCTTTCCTTAAGCAGTTGGGGAGAGAGGACAAGCATCCCAGCCCCAAACCCTGTTGCCGTTTTGTGTTGCCCAGACAGCCCTCTGCAGTCTGTGTCTCCGGACTGATCAGAGTGAGGTTCCGGAGCTCATAAAACATGGGCCAGAACCTACAGCATGCAGTGCCCACCTCCACTCTTGACGATTTAAAGGAGGTGAGCCGAACACCCCTCACAGCCTGCCATATCTAATGCAGTCACTAAGCCCAGATTCATACTCTTGGCCTGCAATTAGGTTGCATTGCTCAGGCTTACATTTAGCATATATGTGCTTCAGTTCATGTAAGTGACATAGCCCAGTCAGCAAAGGACAGGAAACTTAGCTTCATTATGCAATGGCATATACTTGGAGTATGCCACACAGGCTGACTGCACGGCACTGGATCATGGGAAAGAGTGCACGTGAGCCACGTTTATCGTTGTTTCTTTACAACTTCTCCATCTATGCAGACCCTGGGACTCATTGAATTTGGTCATGTCACCAGGAAAAATCCAGCAGAAATGAGGCGCACCCAAGGGAGTTGGCTTAACACAGTAGTCACAACAACAGACCTAAACATATCAATGATATTGAAGCTGAAAGCCAAGCCCCGCCAGGAATCTGAGCCAAGGGCAGCGAACACTCCCTTACCACTAGCACCTAGGCTGTGGATGGTTGTCCCAAATAACCACTACCTGATGCTTACAGAGACCAGCCTGTTGCTTTGACCTTTTGAACTGAAAGCGTCTTTGACATTGGCGCAACTGAAGACTCTTGTCATTCATTCTTTCCTGAGGAATCCGACATGTATTGAGCACCCACGGGGAAATGCTCACTGCCCTAAGAACAAGACTCGGCCCCTCGTTCAAGCTATTGACAGTTGGGGGGAGACTAGTGTGAAAAAAGGCAATAATTATTATCAGTCATAAAAGCTGTGCCCATGCTACAGGAGGACCACTTAACAGGGACACCTAGCTCTGCCCTGGAGGCCCATGGGAGGCTTCCCCAAAGATGTGACACAGAAACTCTGCCCTGTGGGAGCTCATCAGACAAGGGGTAGGCGGAAGGGCATGTCAGGCAGAAGGAGCAACACCTGCGAAGGCCCAGTGCTCGGCCATCAGGGAGTCTGAAGACGGTCCGTACAAATGGGGTAGAGAAGGGAGGCAGGAAATAAATGGACGACAGGACAGTCATGAAAGGGATGAAAATGCGAGAAAGGTGGACATTCCGCATCTCAGAGACCTCACTTTCAAATAGTGAGACTGGCCGAAGATGCGGTGAAGAACACTGTCAGTCTGATGGACGAACACAATGGCCTGAACCAAACTCCCCACGGTCGACAGCGACCCTGTAAGACTGGGGAGGACGGTAACGCTGAACAGGAGTAGAAAGCCCCATCTTTCTCCTTCGGAGCAGCTGCTGGTTTCAAACTGCTGACCTTGCCGTTAGCAGCCCACGATGGAACCACTCCGCCCCCAGGGCCCCAAACCACGCAAAGATTAAGGAAGTAGGGCAGGGCAGTATTTAGCTCTGTTAGACAGATGTAAGGTCACCTTGAGTCACAGCCAACTGGACAGCCACTTAGAAAAGCAACCTCCCGGATGTGACAGAGTGTGGAAAGTGACCTTTCCCTAAATTTTCATAAAGCAGTTTTACCAATATTTTTGACCTGAAGTAGGCTCTTAATAAATGCTCAGCTGTTTCTTTTCTAATCCATCTGTGACCTCTCCTCTTTTCCTTTTAAAAGCCCCTCAGTATGAACATTCAGTATCGCAGCCCTGATGCTCTTAGCTCCAGATCCCAAATTCAGATAAGCATTATTCTGGTTCTTGGGTGGTCCTGATGGCGATGATGTGTGAGTGGGGCTGAAAATCCCCTGGGGGAGCGAAAACCTTCCCAACCATCCCTCAACTCCAAGCTATAATTGTTACAATTGTGTATGAAACTATTTGTCTACACTAATTGAGGTACAGTCGATTTAGTTTATAACTGGATATGTCAAAAAGTTTCTAAAACTTTCATTACTTAAGCTAGACAGTACATTCCCATTGGTAGGATTTTTCTGAGTTCATCTTACTTTACTTTCCATTATTCCTTTATTTGACTTGTGATCTGGTATGAGAATCCGTTAAAGAGCCAGGATTAGAAACCCAAAGGTCCACATTTTAAGCTCAACTCTAATTGCTTTAAAACTTAAGAAAATCATGTCACCACCCTGGTCATGTTTCTTCATCTGTAAAACACAAAAATGCTCTGGCGCCTCTTAGGAAAATCATGACGATGCATGTGACCATAAGTAGGAAAGAGATAATAAACCTTGAAGCCCCTACATAGGATGTGCCAGTATTTTATTAGACATTCTGCAACCAGTAGACAAAGGGGCCCTTGTGAAGCAGTGGGTTATGAGTTGCCTGCTAACCAGAAGATCAGCAGTTCAAACCCACCAGCCGCTCTGCAGGAGAAAGATGGAGCTTTCTGCTCCCTGAAGGTTTAAAGCCACGGAAACCCATCAAGGCAGTTAGACTCTGACCTACAGGGACACGATGAGTCAGAATCAGTTTGACAGCAGTGATTTGTTAAGTTTTTAAAGAAAGGCGGGGGGGGGGGGGGGGGGGGAATGACACTCTGAGTTTATGGAGAGCAGTGACTCTCATGGATGCCACCTACTCTTTCCTCGTGAACCTCCCTTCCCCTTGCTGCCCGATACCCACCTTGCCCTCCCCGCTTTGGGAGATCCACGGTGCAGGATGAGAGCACGAGGCACATCTGCTAAGACAAGGATTTTCTCTCAGAGGAAGAAACGCTTCCTTTAAAGACGCTTGCTGACAACAGCTACTTCTGCAAATCGTGACAGTTTATAGGACACTTCTAAAAACAGCATTTCCTTTAATCACCACAAAAAAACATCCACTTCTTTGCATCCCCATTTTGCAGATCTTGTAGCTTATAGAGCAGAGGTAAGATCAGCCTCGTGGAAATAGCATATGAATCAAGGGAAGCAAATGGATCGAGGGAACCCACATGTCCCTCTGCCCACAGAAGAGGGTCGCCGGGGGAAGACGTGCAGAGGGGCAGCTCCAGCCCACGTTAGGTGGCAGGGTGGGAGCAGGAAATAAGTGGAGGGCAGAGAGCCAAAGTCCAGGCTCCCCGCTTCCTACAGGAGCATCCTGCTTCTTAAGAAAACCTTCAGCCAGACAAGTGAGAATGCAAGAAGGAAAATGAAAGGCTTCTCTCTCCCAGCCAACTTCACTGAAGACCAGTGCATGGACAGACCAACCAGACAAAATCCAGTGCAGCGTGAGTCTAGACCTTCTGCAAACTTTGGGGAA